AACTCAACAGGAATATCTTGTACTGTGATTTGAGTGTCGACATGGGAATTTGCGTTCACATACCACCGCCCTATGGCGGTCCAGTGGATTATCGCCAACATCAAATAAATTCTTAATTTTTCCGCGAACCACATTCCGTCAACCTTCGCCTACTGAACGAATAATCACATTTAGCATTAATGCAGCGGCATCGGGCGATGAATAAGTGACTGAATTGTAATTCTGATTCATTAAATTTCCTTTTATACCTTATCTCGCTCAAAGTGCTACGATATATTGACTGTTAAGAAGTTATTTGGAGAAAAATTTGACAATAATCGAATACAATCACCTTAGTATTAATTAAATTTAATATTAATTATTAATTCAATATTGCGTTAGTTGAGTGGGGTTTAGGAGGCATGCGAAGACGTGTTGCGAGTAGTAAGGTAACAATAGGGTAGGAGTATACTTCAGTAGCCAGAGTAAAGTTGTGCTATGGTGGTGGACGAAGTTTTATCTACCTCTGGTGGTTGTGTTCCCAAAACGGCATTCACAGGTCGGGAGTCGGTGTAGGTCGAGACTAACTCCTTGTGAATGCCGTTTATGGCCAGTCGGTATGCTGTCAGGTCCAGGGGTTGCTTTATGAACATCTAGACTCCGTCCATGAGTTCTATAAATGCCTTGTAACGTGCTTGGCGAGCGCTCAGCAGCAATCACGTATCTGCCACAGACGTGGGCACCCTACTAGGAATTGCTTATTTAACATTGTGTTGGGAACCTTGACGAGAAGCATTTGGGCCCCGTCATGGTAGTGCTGGGGCGACGCCAGAAGGCATTCCGTGGCGGTCCGGAGTGCCATGTTTTGGCAGGTCTGTAGCATCATCGTCCTTCTAGTCCCCGGCAACCACACGGCGCTGCATAGCTTAGAGCCGGCCGGCCTTGTACAAATGTTGCCAACAACGTTTCTTTGTATTTGCCACAGGTGCTGCCGGCTAGCGACTTGAGGACCTCGTTGCGGCTCTGTACTCTTTTGACTATTGCGGTTGTTAGCACCGAGAATGAGAGCACTTTTTTTACTAATAATATTTAGTATGCACATTTCCATGAACATTTTTTTTATAAAAAAAAAACAAGCAATTTTTAGCAAAAAAAATCGATTTCAATTCTCATATAAAAAAAAATATATATATATATATGGTCCACTGATCAGATCTTAACCAGATTAGTATGGGACCACCTCTAAGAAACTACCTTGCAAAAAATTATCGAAATCGGTTGACGTGGTCCAAAGTTATGCGGTAACATACATAAAAAAAAAAATATTCCGACGAACTGATAACCCCCTCCTTTTTTGGAAGTCGGTTAGTAAATAAATGATAAATACCTTCACTTGAATAATCCATGACACACATAAACAGCATTGCCGAATTGACGATTTCGTCGTCATTTTGACGTTTTTTTTTAGCTCAATGACGTTTTGACGATTTTTCCCCGTAATGACGATTTTTTATTTTAGTTTTTCCTCTAAATTACATATGTATGTGGTATGTAAAAAATTTGTTACAAGAAAACTTAATCCAAAATACAACCATGCATTTGTGTAGTTTTCTTATACAACAGTGCTTTTAGTTATATTAAATTTGTTCTAGACTTGTAACCAAATCGTTAATTTGCGGTGCTGACACTGATTTGAAAGAGATAGAAAAGTAGGAGTGGGAATTTGTTCAATCAAAATTATCTATCAGTTAATAAATGCTAGTGTTACACTAAGGGTCTTCACATTCATTTTGGTAGTTTTGGTAAATTGCTGGTTGACATTCGGTAATTTTATCAACTGTGAACGTCCTCTTCAGTTTTCTTTTGTTAGTTTGGTAAACTGTGTTTATCAACAGCGTATTCGTAGCTTTTTTTCTAAAAATAAGAAATAAATTGTAGCAACAAATTGGGAAAAATTACCGAAAACCGGGTACCAAGCTCGGTGTGAAGACCCCTATTTTAAAAGTGGATCCACATCTTCAAAACCTTCGAACGAGTAGAGTTCAACTACTTAAAAGTAATTGTGTTTTAAATTGTAATTTTAAATTGTCGTTAACAATGGCAAATCCACTTTTATTAACCCATTTGCAATGTAGGTTCCATTTGGTTCTGTAATGTGTGGTCATATTTATTAGGCCATATGCATAAAACTTAAGCAAATGTTTATTTTTTTTTAATTTCAGACCTTTTACCCAATTTGTTCAAATAGACTTAAGTTAAAAGTAGAAACGCAATCGCTTAGTTTTTATGCGTACGACTCATTCTACGTAATTCCTTTGTATTTGTTATTTGTTAAAAAAAAAAAATACAATAAACAAAAATTTAACGATTTTTTGGCCGAAATTACGATTTTTTTAGGGTAAAGTGACGATTTTCTAGCGAAAGCTTTCGGCAACACTGCCCATAAAGTTGATAACAGTTGGTGTGAAACAGAGTTGCGAAAGATTTGCATTGGCTCANAAGCTTTCGGCAACACTGCCCATAAAGTTGATAACAGTTGGTGTGAAACACAACAGCTAGAGTTGCGAAAGATTTGCATTGGCTCCAGTTTATCAAGTTTATTCAGTGAAATCGCTGCAGAAATTTATCAGAAATGTGTAAATGAGTTTCCATATACATTTTTACAGTGCATTTATAAGGTTTACACAATTATTTTGATGAATGCCCTTACTGTAAAAGATAAGAGCAAATGCCAAAAAAGGATGATCTCAGCTGTAGGCAAGAATTATCCAACACTCAAAATATCAGAAAGTAAGAAAAAATTATCTCAAATTCTCTCTCATGTTGAGAAACTTGCAAATTTCTGCACGAACGCAAATTTTCAGGAATTTGCAAGTTTCCCTGCCAACTGGTGTCCACGGTTGCATTTCAAACAAAATACATTTTTTTAGAATTTTTAATTTTCTTTCAGATAGCCAATAAGGGGATATACATGTATATTTTTTGTTGTTCCGACTTTCTTTAACATACATTTCAATTTCTTTATTGTACTAGCTGTCGGGTTTCTTAAATCTGGTTGCATATGCATTCGGATTGCGAATATAATTTTTTTCAGCCGAGTTAAGCTCAAATCATTGGAATTAACTAAATTAATTATATCAACAGGTATTTACTTCAATTTTTCATAAAACAAAATCGCTAGTGTTTATAAATTTTTAAATTTAACGAACTTATTTATTCAAATTATCGTAGACAAAAATGCAACCATGTGACACAATCATATCTTTTTCGTGATTGCAAATTCTTGCTGGCTAAAATTTTTCCAGCAAGAATTTGCAACTTCTCTCAGGAGAACCGTCACTTTGCGCTCTCAGTTTTTGAGTGATGGATAATTTTTTGGTCTGCACGAATGCGATTTGGGCAAAAATCATGATAACTCGTACAAATTCGTACAAATTTTTACTCGACGAACAAACCTAGTGTTTTTACTTAGAAAACTGTACGATGATTAAAAGTTTCTTTTTATTATAGAAAAACATTTTACATTTTCTTTTTTTTTAATTAAAATTTAAATCAATTAACAAAGTATTTAACAACCGTTACACCCCCAGCCCTTCCCAATCGTATTTTTACAGGAATAGAGCGCATTGAACACGTTTGTTCTCTGCTCTTCGGTGTCCATTTGCCAGGAAAGCTTAGAGTCGAGAAAACCCAAAAAAAAAACGTTCTCCCTTTTGGCACTCTCAAATTTGCACCATTGAAAACAGAAAAAGTTCGGTTTTGGAGGCGTTAACTCCTAGACCGTTCCTTTCTTTCCACACTGCCACTCACTCACCATAGAAATGCATTTTCCTTTGACCAGCTCTTTTTTACATACAGTACTCCATTTCGTGGTTTTCCTATGGACGTTACGAACAGACTTTTTTGGGGCGTTTATTTTGAAAGTAGCATAAGTCACTTCACACCTCTTGACCGGTTGCTTGTATCGGTTATTCGTTCAACTTCTTCAACAAAAGGTAGAAGGCTTTGTCGTTAGTTTATGATTTACAGATGCATTCGGTTACAATTAGCCTGTCATTTAAGCACTACAAAGAGCTACGAAGGTTTTTATGCCACTTTCAAAAAACTGCTTATGGATATCGTCGTTTAAAGTACAAAACCGCGTATGGTCATTCTGCAAAACCGCGTAACTGACATTGGCTGCAAAACCTTCTTACATAGAAAAGTTGGATAGGATCGCTTTACTTTTACTCAGAGGAGTCGAAACTGAGATTTCTCAAGAACAAAAGTACATATCGTCGTTTAAAGTGCAAAACCGCGTATCAACAAAATGCAAAACCGCATATCAGCAAAATGCAAAACCGCGTATGTGAAGTTGTAGAAATTATTTTCCAAAGCGTAAAAACACTCATATTTTGAAATGGTTCCCTTTTTTGTAAAGCAATCGCATATTTGCCTAGTATATTTCAGAACGAATGGATAAGGATTGAGCCAAGAGCTTGTGTGAGCAAATCCAATTTTTGGCAGCCAATGTCAGTTACGCGGTTTTGGAGAATGACGATACGCGCTTTTGTACTTGTCATGTTGTTGTTGTTGTAACAGCTTACAAATTCCCAAAAGTAGGTCGCTCCCATGATTCTGGGCAGTTTCTTCCCTTTAGTTAGAGCATTTGTTAACTACGATCATTTGCCCAGGATGTAAAAAATATACCTGAAGGTTCTAGTTCTGAACTTTTTCTTCCATGTGGTTGTTGTTTTATTTCTCTCTTTGTCAGATAACAAACAAATGGAGAAAATTTCTGAACTAAAACGATGATGGTTTATACCATCGGGATTTTAGGTTATGGGCGAGTGCTGCATCCCGTCCCATATAAAATGTGTGTATTTTTATTCTAACGTAAATGACCTTTTCATTAATTTGTAATTTCCAAAAAAAAAATCACCTAAGGAAAAACCACAATTAAACGAAAATTTGTCAGATCAGGGGATTCACAAGGCATGCTAATCGTCGTAATATGTACCTTAAGTCTTCAATTTTTTTTTAATATGGATTGAAGTGGTTGTAAAGGATTGCTAACTATACCGAACATATTTTTGAACTGATTGAAAATATGTAATTGGCTCTTAACATATCAGCGAAACCTCTAAATCATTTTAATAATTTATTTACAAATAAAAAAATTTTTGACTTGACAAATTATGAGACTAACACGCCTATGAATCCTCAATTTATTTACAAAATATATTTTAATTTGTCTCTCAATGAGGAGAATCCATTTATCATAGAGAACAGGAAAGTTTTTGAGATTTTCGAAGTTTTTTTGAGTTTCAATGGAATACCCCGTTTTTTTTTTGAGGTTCTAGGTTTATCTACCTTAACATATTTTGGCTTTCAATTGAAATAAAATGTATAAGGATAAAAGAAATTTTCATAACTTTTTTTACATAGAAAAGGAATAGTATCGTTGTATCTGTGGTAAGTGTAACTGGACGAGCGTGTTATTGTTTTTGCATGTGTATTTATAGTACCGCTTGCAACAACAAATCAAACGCTCATTCGGATACAATTAAACATTAGTGTCATGTTTTAGTTTACCAAACCTTTTTGATGTTTATATCAACTACGTATATTTGAAAATGTATATACTGTTAACTGTTAATTGCATACATAGTATGCGTTTATTTAAAAAATTTCATTCATTATTAATTTACTCATTCATGTTCTGTTTTAATCTCTAGTGGCGTTTCCTCTATATATTCTTGAAAAATATTTTTTCTTTGATCGTCGTAAAGCATTCCTTTCAAATTCTTCATTATATTTTGCCTTGCTAGTTCTTGCTGCATTAAGTCTTTTTCCAAATCTGCTTCTACCTTTTTTTCAATGAACTCTATTTTTATTTGCTCTTCGGAAAGTATGCCTAGCAACTGCTTTTCTATTGTGTCTTCTGTTAATATTTTTTGCATATTATCAATATCTTCTTCTGAATTCTCGTCAACTATTTCCATTTTTACTTCCTTCTTATGGACTATTCCTAGGCTACTGTTGCCCATATTTTGTGCTGCTCCATTTTGCTGTATTACGCTTTTCATTGCATGTTCGTCAATAACTTCTATATTAATATGCTTTGCGGGTAATGACCCTAACAACGGTTCCTTTACATTTTTCTTTTCCAACTCAACTTTTGCTATTTTTTGCTTCAATACGGATTTTTCATCTTGATGTCTTAATTCCTGGCGTCGTATCAACTGCAGCAATTCAAAGTTCTCTCGCTTTAATTTTTCACTACAAATAAATTTACGTTCATATGTATATATTAATAAGTGCTTATACGAAAAGTTCTGAAAAATGAATAATAAGTCCTTGGAACTTACATTTGAATTCGCAATGATTGAATTTCCGCTAAGTGCACAGATTCCTCATGCACCTCATCAGATCCAGAGGCCACATCAATTTTGATAGGCACAGACGTTTTTGGCGACGCATTATTTGGCGTAACGTTCGCGATTGTCCAGACAGGAATTGATGCGTTTGATGTTACTTTTCTTATGGTTAGACCCGGCCTAGACCAATTTGTCATAGTAGAACTCTCTTCCGATCTTGTTAGGACAGTGGTTTTTTTACTTGTAGATTCAGCTTCTCTTTTCCTTTCTTTTTTCTGCAACTTTTTTAATTCTTCCTCAGCGGTGGGAGATATATTGTGGTATATACAGGGAACAGCGCCATGCACCAAAGATCTTTTCTCACGCAGTCCTTTATTATTCCATTCTTACAAATACATTAAAATAAGACAATAAGATGTAATACTTACCCATTTCAAAAGCCAATCCTCCAACGATATCTTCCTTTTTGAAATGATCCATGCATATCCTCCATGTCTTCAGTTTAAATCCTGCGGGACGCCCGCAAAACTCCAGCCACTTTTCACGCAGTTTCTCGTCCTTTGGAAAAACGAAAAAACTTTTTTTAGCCTCTTTGTTCTTACGTTCATTTACGCAATTCCAAACTGCACACTGCATTGCAACTTTGCTATTATGTATATTTAAAAGTATTTTTTCGCTAATTAAACGTATTTAAATTGCTTTGAGCACGAATTGCAAAATACGCCATATGATGTCACGATCAGCTGATTTCAAATGCATCTAGAGATTATAGTTGTGAAAATATCGAAATGGCTATGGATAGTATCGATAGTTTTGTTATTTCTAGTACTACCGATATTTTTTCCTCAGTGTTGGTTTTTAGCTTAGTATCCTCCCCCTTAGGAAAAGCAAAAACTCCATATAAAATGACGTACAAGAAATGGCTAAGAAATTTTCTTGAGTCAAATTTCCTTAAGGCAGTACGCAGTTCTTCAGAAATTTAGTACGCTTTCTACTACGGTTTTCTAAAGTTTTTTGTGAAAAAAGAGCACAAGGCAACCCAGGTTTGCAACAGAAATATATGCCCGTTCCATTATTTCTTGAGGAAAGAGTGAGGCAACAGGCTGTGCGTTATCAAAAATGTCAAAATTCCTTGGACACACAAGCGAAATAATGGCAATTTTTTCTTGACCGTTTTCTTAAGAGCTGGATACTAAGCTTATACCTGCTTATAGTTGGGGTGTTCACAGTTCGTTCCAAATGGGTTTTAAAATGCTGACGTCGACACATCTGTATATATAATACGCGAAAGGATTTTTTTGTTCAGGACAAAAGATCTGCACAGTTCGCTCGATTATCAAATATGGGGTGTCAAATTAAAGCGTTTGGCCTGTAGATATGCAAACTGGTTTTATTTATTCTAAAAGTGTTGCCATATTTTGAACAATCAAATTCCAAATTTTTAATAGTCAATGCACTCATATCCGCGGCGTTCGTTCGAATTTCCGAAATCAGGTGTCAAACTAAAAGGCTTGGGCTGCAGATGTGCAATAAGGTTTGGGAAATGTTTAGTTATTTGCAGGTCGTTTTTGGGGTAGGGGGCGGAGGGGGAGGTGGCGTGGCCCCCTAAATCCCCCCTATTCGAAAGGGGACAGCCTCCGCTTTACGAAAAGTCGCACCCCTCCCCCCCTTCGGGGCCTTCCACAGACCCCTGGGGAACCGTTTGAAAATGGGCGAAAAACAGCATTTACCGAGGGAAATTGAGCAGTTTGAAGTGGAATATAACCCAACTAACAGAATCTGTGGGGTTTTTAAATAAAAGAAGTTATCCCAAGGTGGTTATCAGGCCAAAGAAGGGGGGCTGAACACCTTTTGCAGAGAACAACTTTCTGCGTAGGCGGCCTTCGGCCGCACTTAGGGATTATAACCCTCAGGCAGTAGAATTCTCCTTTCTTTTTTGCGAAGAAAAGGAGCTGAACACCTTTTGCAGAGAACACCTTTGTATAATTTTAATGCTTACAGGGTTATATCCTATTTTCTTTTGTCTCTCATTCTTTTGCATATTTTCTAGTTTGACAGCTGAACTAACTGGTTTAATATTAAAGTTATAAAGAAAGTTATAACTCATCGAGTAAAGTGTAAAGTGAAGGAGAATATAAAAATATATTGCTGAAGTAGCTGCTTTAAGGAGAATAGGAGTGATAAATTTACGCTAATTTCCGAATTTTACAAAAAAAGGGCATATTTGTAACCCAATTTGTAAATAAATTAGTGACCAAAAATTACAAAGAAGGGTGTTAAAATAATGTTTAGACTCTTGGCTACAAGTGTGCGCAAATTGGATCGGGTCACCCCTTTGGACGCAATACCTCGAAATAGATCAGCAACGTACTAAACCGTACCCTAAGGTTTTACTTCTTTGGAAANTGTGCTGTTGATAGAAAGAGAGAGAAGCAACGTGTACGTCACGGGTCTGCGGTGGTGAGTTTTTGTTAACACGCAGATCCCATAAGATAGCTCGTGTCAGCTGACACGTTCTCCGTTTTTACGTCCGTGGGTAACTGCGCTTTAAGGTTTTACTTCTTTGGAAGGAGTTGCCAGCCTTTAAAAAATTATACTGAAATTATTTTAAAAAATATTTAAACAGTAAGGTTGTGGTTTTTTAGCATTTTTTGGAATTAGCAAGAGGCGCTGGTACCAGGGATTGGTCCATGTTATACTTAAATTGGTTTAGTGCATTTGAATTTCTTTAATATTTCAACAAATCCACGTACCTTTTCCAGCGTTTTAAGTCATGGTTATGCCACTACATGCTTTTGATCTAAAAACTGCATAGCCTTAGTAAACAGCTGTTTGTTAAACGTGGCCTTGCCGGACTTCCTCTTCACGATTTCATGAAATGGTGCCCAAATTCATGGTCGTGTATAATTGAATTTATCATACTATATTTATGCAGCCAATCGCAGCTCATATTGATGAATTGATTTCGTGAATTTGCCTACGCATAGACGTAGTATATGATAAACATATTTTTTACATAGTTAATTACGTATTTTTTAAAGAAAGACATAAATTCAAACAAGGGTATACTTAGGGTTTCCTCGAAATGTGTATGTATATGCGTATATAATATAGAATGAAAAATATTTTAATTACCTTTCTAACCATATCCATGCAACTGCTTACAAATTTTACTTTCAATGCCAGTATTCAGCTCTCAAGAAAAGCGAAAACTCCATATAAAATGACGTACAAGAAATGGCTAAGAAAAGATGGATATCAATTGAAATTGTTTTAAAACCCGTCTCTCCTATAGTATATGATATATAAACTCGAATTCAAATTAATTCATCAGTTACTTCAAATATGTACACCTTCTATGGGTAAAGAAAGGAGAAAGGAATGCAGAGTGGAAGGCCTCTTAACTCTCTTTCTTGAGATAGTCGCACCATCGATAGTTTTCGCAATTTCTGGCAAGACAATCTTTTCTATCGCGATAGTATCGTTGTTATCAGACTATAGGTTTGTATAGTAACTTCTCCAGTAAAACATTGCAGCCAGAGCGTAAAAGCAAAATAGAGCGTAAAATTGACAAGAAGAGAAAATTAGCAGAAAAAGTTACTGAACGCAAAACTAGTAAAAACTTGCAAGTAAATAGTTGTTGCACCCTTTTGATATTCTGCTGTAAACATGTTACTATTTATAAATCAGTTGTAAACTCTTTGCTTTTCACACAAGCACTTACACAGTCTAGTGCATCATTAATATTTTGATTTCCACTCATTTTACTTTTGTTTCTGCTAAACCAATTCAACAAATGGCGGCTTTTGACATTTATTCTTCTTCTTCTTCTGCTAGCTAATTTCTGCTAGTAGAAATTTCACTAGCAAGAATTTGCAGCTCTCCCGTGTTGTTGCGCTCTCGATTTGTTGCTCTCCTGCAAATCTTTTGGGTTATCATACACTTTTCCAGTAAAAATTTGCAGGTTCCAGTACAAATTAGTACTGACTATTGGTTACTATACAAACCTTATCAATCATATAGCAATTTTCCGGCAAACTATCGATACTATCGCGATAGAATCGTAAAAAATAGCCGATTTTAAAAGAATTTGTTCTATTCAGTCAAAATGTATTTTGTTCAAATACATACATATGTTACCGACCAAACCCGATCTTAGGACAAAGTAGTTTTGCCTAGGCTAAACTAGATCAGACGCCAAAGTATTTTTGGGCAGAACTCCTTTCCGCGTAAGAAGCGGCCTTCGTGCTTCAAAAAAATAACCCTCATCAGTCCAGCTCCAACTACGCAGTCCACAATATTGTTTCGTCCAACTTGATTCCGCGTTGGATGGATGTGTCGGATGTAGTTAGAGCTAGTTTAGCCTAGGAAAAACCAGTTTGTCCTAAGATCGGGTTTGGCCTAGGGATGGGTAGTGGGTGGTTGAAATTCGATTTTTACCGAACTTCGAACATTGCCCAACCATTCGATTATTTGATTCGAAACTTGGTGGTACAAATTCGATTTAATTCGAATTTTCAAAATTTTTTTACTGGAAATTTAAAAGTTTCTTTGTAATGATAGCTCAAATCGGAAAAGAGACTCAATTTAACTTACATTGAAGTGATTAATTATCCGTATCTTAGCCTCACAACCAAAAATTAATACAAATAAGAAATATTTTTTTCTCAAAAAATTTCAAAGAAATTGATGTCGGGTTTAGTCAGAAAGATGAAAGTTGCAGACTTTTTACGAATAAAGCCGAAATTCGTTTTTTTTATAAAAATTCGATTTAATCCGAATTTTAGCGCCACAAAGTTCGATTTCAAAAATTCGCTATTTTGGAGCTAAAATTCGATAAAAGTTCGAATTTCGAAGCTTCGAATATCGAGTTTACCCATCCCTGGTTTGGCCGATAACACATATCGCACACCGTCTTCAAAAGAGTCACAACTCAAAATAATGGCTGCGTTTCTTTATACATTCCGGATAAACCCATGATTCAATAATACAAGGTTCGATAAACTGACAGTTGTCTCTCTCGCACCGCTCCCTTAGCAGTGGCACCGTGTTGCTTCTTTGCACATTCACATGGAAACAGTGTAGCTTTGGTATGAAATAGAAGTATGAGCGTTTGTGCAATATGTTTATTTGTATTGGCATATGAAGCACATTTAACTGATGAAAACATGAATTGATTTCAAATCGGATGTTTACATCAATCCCATAGTATTCTTATTTTAATTTTGAGTCGTTTTGCAGTTTTCATACACCTAAACAGCACATAAATTACGTAATTCACATAGATACATCAATATTACGTTCAACATTTCTATTAAATGCCAGATTTCCTGCAAATACATTAGAATTTACAAAAGGAATCTCACTACTAATTGCCTACTTTGCGTACTTTTCTACTACCATTTACGCACCAAGAGATTTCATTCCTCCCCTTTTCTCCGTCCTTCGTAAATGCAACCTTTTGTAAGGGAGTGTCAAACCGCCGCTGTCAATAATTATCTAACCTTGTATTATTGAATCATGGGATAAACCCATTTCACAACCAGAATAAACAGAATGCCATTGAAATATACGTTTACATATCATCAGGAACGTTCTAAAGAATAAGTAAACAAAAAAGTTTATTCCAAACGTTCAGAATGAATAAAGAAATGCAGAAAATGTGAAAAACTATTTCTTAGCACATGATAATAATGGCCCGTAGTCATAGTCAAAATAAAGTCGACTTTAAAGTTAGTTGCAGCTTTTTGACATAATTTTCAATGGGATATCTGTCAAAAAAGCTGCAACTAACTTTAAAGTCGACTTTATTTTGACTATGACTACGGGCCAATATGTGCAAGGGCGATTTTACCTTA